GGCAGTAGCAGAGGGAGCTGCTGTAGGCTAAGGGACCTTTGACGGAAGAACACCTAGAGATTATTACAGCCAGACAAGCAATAGCACAGCCAGCTAGTTGCTGCAAGACATGTGAGAGAGCTCAGGTAGGTTTATGTACCCTGCATTCACACCTAGTGCATCAGTGTTTCAGCGCGTTGACATTTTTCCAGTGTTCGGCGTTTTACAGTTTGCGGCAAAACACTCAGGTGTGAAACGGGGGGCATTGAAATTAACGGGATTTCTTGTGTTAAGCAATATGTCGTGCTTATCTTTGAACGACAAAACATCTAGGGGTGAACGGGGTGTGTGTGTACTTTATGTGTATTTTATGTGTGTGTACTTTATGTGCGTGTGTTTAATGTATGTATGCGTGTTAGAGTGTGTGGTTTTTGTGTGTGTGTTTCATGCGTATGTGGTTTTTTTTGTGTTGTTTGTGTTTCATGTGTGAGTTTATAGTGTATGCGTGTTTAGTGTATATGTGTGTATTGTGTGTGTATTAGTGTGATTTAGTGTGTATGATCTGTCACTATGTATGTGTGTTAGAACCAGGTCTCAATAGCAATACTGTCCTCTGGTGACAACACCCCAGGGACAGGATCACTATGCAGATTAGAGGAAATACTCACCTAGCTCCATGCTTCACTCCTTCACTGTCAAGATAAGTGTGCTGCTACTCCAAAACTGCAGGAAGTCACTTGTCCCTAATCCCGCCAGCAGTGATTTTACCCTGCCAGCCTACCTACTTCTACTGACCACCCACAAATGGGGGCATTCTTCCTTCTATTGACCCCTAATTTAAAGAGGAAGTCATCTTCATACTGCCCACACACGCAAGGGAGCAATCTTCCATCTACTGACCGCCTACGTAGGAAGAATTATTTCTCCTACTGTCCACCAACATAAGGAAGGATCCTTCCTTCTACTGACCACTAATATAAGGGAGAATTCATCTCCTACAGACCACCAACATAAGGGGGTATCCTTCCTTCTACTGACCACCAACATAAGGAAGCATTCTTCCTTCCACTGACCACCAGCATATGGGAGTATCTTCCTCCTACTGACCAAAAACATCAGGGGGTATTCTTCCTTCTACTGACCATCAACATAAGGAAGCATTCTTCCTTGCACTGTCCACCAGCAAGGAGATTCCACCTTGCTCTGGACCTGCAGCACAGTGCACAACTGGGCCGGTAAGACAGCTGGGTCTTGTTGATATTGATATATGTTTGCACAGTACTTTGGAATGGTTTTCTATTGCATAATGCAGTCGTTTTGGATTTGGGCACTGTCCTAGCTTATATGTCTGACTCAAGGGCACAGCACAGGCATAGGAGGCTCTTTACTTTCAATGATAGACTGCCAATGCGCTGTTTCTATTAGAGGAGCTGTAAACTCTATTATGTATATTTATTTATAGACTCTCTAGTGTTTATGAGCTCATTTGTTCGGTTTTGATATCCAACGTCTCCAAAAGAATGAAGTACAGTGATCTTTAGAACAGCTATTAAGACAGTCAGTCTAAGTAATAAACCAGCATTTAGGTGTTAGCTCCTCTTTTCTCCCTATGCCCTGCATACATTTTATAACAAATCACAATGTAAATGCCTTTGTGACCACAAAGCCTAGATTTCTCTCTCCTGTTGGCGCGGCTGATGGAAGGGAACTCTCTCCTCCCTGACAATAGCTTACAACAATGGACTCCAGCGGGTGACGTTACTCTCTATGAATCCCTTCAATGTTGTCAGCCCTCCTCATTACAAATAGGAGCTAGAGCTTTGTGGTCACATGATCACATAGAAATAACACAAAAAAGGTATTTACATTGCAATTTGTTATTAAATGTATGTAGGACCATGGGTGGAAAAGGGGAAAAACATTTAAAGTGACATTACACTTACGAATGAAATCTTATAAATGCATTCAAGTACCCTTAACTATTAACAAAAATGTAGCTTATTTGTGTATCACTCAGCTGTAGATCCTCAAATCATCTCTGAATTTGTGCTGACACTGTCCTTCCTTCTGGAGGGTGTCTACTTTTGTTCTCCATGGTACCTGTATGTGTTGTAAAGTAGCCACCACTCCAAGCTCGCTCTCGTGATGGACTATAATTTATATAATCTAATCTATAATCAGTTTACTAATTTGTAGTGAAATTATAGTCTATCATGGGAGCAAGCTTGGAGTGTTGGCTACTTTACAGCACATACGGACCATGCGGAACAAAAGTAGCCAGCCTCCAGAAGGAAGGACAGTGTCAGCACAAATGCATAGATGATTTGAGGATATACAGCTGAGTGATGCACAAAAAAGTTGTATTTTTGCTTATAGTTAAGGTACTTGGATGCATTTTTGAGATTCAACTCCTGACTTTAGTGCCACGTTAAATGCTGGTTTATAACTGGAATGCTGTCTCCCAACGTCATGTAAATCACTGTGATTGACCCCATATATGTGTGCTTATCGAAAGAGCTCTGTCAGCACTAGGGATGAGCTTTGGGTTCGGGTCAAACAAAGCTTTGACCCCCAACCCAGCTTGTTTGCAGTTCGTGAATGGGCGAATTCAGTGATGCAACTGGAAGTCATTCATTTAGTGGCCGTACCACAGCCGCCCTTAAATTACTGCTTTCTGCTCGCTGATTTTTTTCACATGGTAAACAAGCCGGTGGGGATCCTGGGGATGTCAATGACTCCCCTGTGCTGTGTTGACATTCCATCAGAGGACTGAGGTTGCAAACTGTCATTTGCAACCAGAGTAGCAGCGGGAAAGAGTCACCAGGGTGTCGCTCATTTTGGTTGATTATAGATCTACAACACTGGATGACATAATTGGTGTTTGATTCATATCGTGGGACATTAATATTACTATTTTATTTAATTTAACAAAGGGGTGTGGGAGCAGTGCGGCCGCACAGGGCGCCATGGCAACAAGGGCGCCGTGCGGCCGTACCTGGATGTTTCCATAGCTTCTGTGTTTATTTACTATTATACTTTTTTGTGCATAAGTAACAGCCCCTTACTCATTCACATGGGGAGGCTGGATATCTTGCGGGGTCCCCCTATTCCAAAGGAGGCTTCCAGTTCTCCCCTCCCCGCAGACCCCCATATCTACCGGTGCCAGGAATGTGGCAATGAGGCCATTTTCCATGGGAAGGGGGGGCGGTTATTTTCTGATAATTTCTCATAACGGTATGTCTGCAGAGTGTTGGGGGTTGTTTTACTCTACACTACAAGCCATAAACCGTGAACAGACATCCTGCTTAATGGCAACACCTTTTTTTCTCGATACCTTTAAGACATATTTCCTAAGTTTGCATGCCTATCTTTGTACCTCTTATTTCAAATCTGTTTATTTTGTTGTTATTCCTTAAAAGTCTGCCTCTTCTTTTAAATGTTTGTGACCAATTATTTGAGGGCATGTAAACATTGGGGCATGCTTTTGTAGGTCTGGCTACAAAAACTTTCAGCTTTAAAGAGGAACTTTGTTCCCCAGTGTTGTCCTCAATTTGCATACTCTCCTGCCCAGTCAATCCACCATTGTTCCACTGTAATTTGTTCTTTGGCCCGATCCCACTGCCATCTTGATGATCCTCAGTCATTGGGAGCTGGCTGCCTCTTCTGGTTTCAGACAGCAGGCCCCCAATGACACTTGCAGCTTCACTCACCAGCTGCTCAGGGTCCCTACTCCTAAAGCCTCCTGCAATATATGATGGGGATATCTCAGGAGGCTGTGGGAGCAGGGCCCTAGATGAAAATTGTGGCGCGGAGGGAGCTCGGCGAGGCCAGAGTAAGAAATTTAAAAAAGTAAACAAACTGAAAAAACTTACATTATTTTTGAAATAGTGGAGGGTGAGAGTTGAAGTGAGCTAGAGTGAAATGAGGTCTGCATTAAGCCCTTTGGACACTTTATTTGATGTATCCATAACTGGATACATCTATCTTGTATATTGCATATAGTACTGTATAGAAAATCTCACTAGGAAATGTACTGTTGTGTAATGTCTACAGTATAATGCAAACATGTCTACAAAAAATAAATGAGACACTTAGTTAATGCCAGCTCCATAAGAATAATATTTTTTTCCAAAACAACATACTCAAACCTCCCCCCTGGAAACATAAAAAACAGTATATAATGCAATTTTTTTGGTCACCCTGCCCCCCCTATTTAAACTTGTGCTCTGGGAGCAGCAAAGAGTCCCAGATACAGATACATAGCACAATGGTTTGAAATGTATGGCAATTTCTGTAAATCATTATTATATACTCTACTGTACACATACAGTACATGCATTGTTGTATTGAAATGGATCAATAATGAAGAGAGAGATGGATTGTCATTTGTTCCACAGAATGATAGGTGGTGATCAAATTAGTTTACAAAGCTGGTTCATCAGGAGATTGCTATTATTTTTATTAAAATGTATTTCTGGAAAAAAACAATTTTTTAGTTTAGTTTTGGATAGAGTGTGGGATGGTTAAACCCTCTATCAAGTTTTTATTACAGTTTGTGTGTTCTTATTGGGAAAATTCCCCCCTCTAGCTGTACTAGTGCCCATTGTCAGCTGTACTAGTGCCCATTGTCACTGAGAAAGAAAAGAAGGGGAAATCCAAGGTTTTAGAGTTGTCCCCAGAAAAAGAGGTAAGGGGAATGCTTCCAATGTAGACAACTGTTCAGAGGACAGCGGTCTAAGAGGGAAATGTCTCTTACTTTGGGAGATTTCTTCTAACTTCCTGTTGCATCTCTAGTACAGACAGTGAAAGAAAATTTCGCCAATGATACAAAGACAGCAAAAAATACCTTTTCCCTTCTCTAAGCAAAACAAAAAAAACGTTTTGGCTGCACATACACAGCCTCTGTGATTCTCTCCATTTCAGATAGATTTCATTACAAATACTGAGGATAATGATAAAATAACAAATTAGTCATTCTTCTGACTTGATCACAAAATAGACTAGAAAGTAATGTAACTTACATAACATCTTAGTGACTTGTCTCCTTCGGCTTTTCTCTTGCTGTAGCCTAACATTTTGGTAACTATCTCCATCTCCCCCGGATTTAGCTTCTAATACTTGAAGCATCTTCTCCTTCTTAAGTTGGAGACCGATGAGCAGATACAGGACACTTATGGTACACATTGGTAGGAAAAAGAAAAAAATGGTGGTAATCTGAATAACAAGATTGTAAATCCACCTAGGACGAACCAAAGTGCATATGGTAGAATTAGGTATTGTTCCATAACCAGCTACATAAAGATCGTAAGTGCCAAAAAGGCTGGCGTTGGGTACTGAGCACAGAATAGACAAAACCCACACAGAGATAATGACTCTCTTGGCATGGTTCCTTGTGACAACATACTTAGCACGAAGAGGATGAACCACCGCTATGTATCTTTCCACACTGAGTGCCGTCACATTTAGGATAGAAGCAAAGCAGACCGTCTCAAATAGAAGAGTTTTGAATGAGCATCCACCTTTCCCAAAGAGAAATGGGTAATTACTCCAGAGTTCATAAAGTTCCAAAGGCATTCCCAAAAGCAGAACCAACAAATCTGAGATGGCAAGACTGAAAAGGTAGTAATTTGTAGGCGTTCTCATAATCTTGTGTTTGAAAATTACAATACAAGTTAAGGTATTTCCAATGGCACCAACTGAAAAGACAATAAGGTAGATTATGCAAATTGGAGTGAAGTAGTTGGATCTACGGGGTCCCAGGTACTTGAAGAGCAGTTCCTCCATTGTCAGATTACATTCCGCTGGGTTTATATCACAAAATCTCATACTGTGGTTTATTACAGTTTGGTTGTAGCTATCACTTTTATCAAGGCTGCGAGGAACATCTTTGTGATGCTGAGGCTCCAAATTAGAGTAATTGCTTAGGGCCATCTTTTAGCACAGTTTGAGAAATAAAGGCAAGCCTATGAAGAGAAGCAAAGAAAAAATGTGGATATATATCAACCTTTGTGTTTTGTGTACTACAACGTAGTCAGATAGGAGATTTCGTTTTTCTCAAAGTCACAGTATATTTTAAAGAAATTGTAAAAAGAAGAATAAAGGATTGATATCAATTTTAGGTGCCTCTGTCTTTGTTCACTACTTAGTACATGCATATTTTTGTTATATTTAAAAAAAATAGATATTGGAAATGTTTATATGGCAAATAAGCTAAAAACCTATGGGGTCTATTCACGAAGCTGCCGAGGGCAGACGAGTGAATAACCGATCTGAAGTGAAGAGACCCGAACACTGTTCGGCTATTCACTTCAGGCTGGTACGGCTAATTTCAGCCGTACATCGGCTGAAATCAGCCGTACATCGGCTTGCTTCGCGTGACTTCGGGTCGGCCGAACATGCTCAGCATGTTCGGCCGACCTGAAGTGCAGAAGGAGTTCGACTCAGCCGATCCAACATCTGGATCGGCTGAGCCGAACCTCCGGCAGGCTACTTACTGCTGTTCGGGCTATTCTTAAAGATCCCGAACAGCAGTGAGTGAATAGCCGAGCCGAGCCGATGCATATGCGTTCGGCTCGGCTGAGCCGCTCGGCCATGATCGGGAGCTGTACGGGCTATTGTGAATAGCCCGTACAGCACCCCTTCGGTTCTACTGAACCGAAGGGGTCCTGGGGCCGAAGCTAGCCGAAGGATCGGCCGAAGCTACTGCCAGATCCTTCGGCAGCTTCGTGAATAGACCCCTATGTTTTCAATACCCTGGTGAAACATGTAAAAACAAATAATTTCCATGCTGAAAATATATTGTGTTATTCTGTTCTGCATAAATGTATTTGCATGTGTACATTACATACAGGTCATGATATCCCTTGCCACTCTACTGCTTCCCAATAGTTTATGTTGCCTTGTCATATTAAATGAGAAAAACTGATACATTTCATTAGCCTCTTCTGCAACTGAGAACGTGCCAAGTGGATGGTCTGTATATTGTATTTGTGGTTTGCTAAATTCTAATGTTCCGTATGCTATCATATCAACACAACATGCCATTAACAATCTTGTTACAATGTGAGTCTGAAATATGATTTCATGCCTTTTGATCTTCCTGTCTTCGGTTCAGGTTTTCTTGTATAGTTGATCTCTGCAGTCACTTTCAGATATAGATGGCCCCGCAGTATGACTTTCGTTCAACCCTTGTAACTAAGATGTCACTGAGAGCTTGATAGTTGATATAATGTGATCTATGTACAAGGAAACAAAACATAGTTTACAAGATTTAAATAGCATAAAGCAGTATTCCTATGCATATTATTTGCAAAACATAAAAAATAGTAAAGTTAATATGAAACATTGACCCTGATTTACCAATGGAGTCATGTAAAAGTGCCGTGTGTGAAAAAAAATTCACCTGTTCCACAGGTGCACACAACCACACACGCACAGAACACACAGGTGCACACAACCACTAGTAGCAAGGCACCTTACATTCACAAATGTTATAATGACTGCATCTGATAACCCTACTGATAACCTAATAGATGCAACAGCAATTTTATCTGTGGGTAAGCATATACCAGAGTGTAGCAATCCCAACAAGCCTCCAATGTGCCTGTCCTATCTGCTTAAGAGTCCTTTGCCCTTGCTACAAATCTGTCAACCTTAAAATTCAGGCATGACACCAAGAGATCCACAACTGGTGTTCCCCATCCCTGGCAGATTTGTTGAAAGACTTCTAGGTGAAGGGCCACTCTCCCTAATCCAGACCTTTTCCAATGAAGTAGTCCACTTGACAATTTTCTGCCACACTCTGGAGGTGAGACAATTCCAGCACTGTCGCCACGCTCCTGGTCTTGGTTTATATAGGCATTGTCTGATTGTACCTGTACTGGTTTCCCTCCAGGAGATATGTTCAGTGAAGCAGAACTCATCGGATCTCTGACAAATTTAACACATTGATTGGAAGCAAGGACTCCAGGATCCAAGAACCCTGAATGAAATGGAGAACCAGAGCTTCTCCCTAGCTGTTGAGGCTGGCGTCCATTGTTATTATTTTTCAGCATGGAGAGAGAAATTACTTCCCAGCTAGCAGCAAGGGAGAGCGGAGCAAACAAACTAAACAAAACCTTTATCAGGTGACATAGCTTACAGAGGTAAGAGGAAGCTTGTTCCACTGCAACAGGATCTTGTGTGTGTAGTGTTGCAAATAAGGAATCGCTTCAAAGGCCGCTACTATGAGACACAAAACTCATATGCAACAGCAAATGAACAACCGCCTGCGAGCATGCAGTAGGTAAATCTGAAAATATAGTTTCTATATTTTTTCCAACAGAAGGAACACCTTGGCCTTGTTTGTATCCAAGACCAGCATTAAGTATTCCAGGGGAAGTGACAGACTAAGGAAAGACTTCTCAAGATTTAAAATTCACCTCCAATCGTGATGGCCAGGTTGGACTCCAGTCCTTGAAAAACTCTGCAAGTGATAGAAGGTCATACAGGTACCCCATGATTGGTATCCCTCTTGACCTCCTGGCAGCTAACACTGGTGCCAACGTCTTGGTGAACACCAGAAAGTCTCTGTGGCTAGGCCGAAGAGCAAGCCTGTAAACTAATAATTCTTCTTCACTACCGCATGAACCACTGGTATCTCTAATAAATGGGAAGGTATGCATCCCTGATATCTGTGGATGTCAGAAAGCCCCCCAATGCATTCTTGTGCATTTTGGCTAAGTTGTTTAATGCTTTGAGATCCAAAGGGTTATTAAACCTGCCATTTTTTTGCATATATCTAGAAAAAAAATCCTTTAAAAGCAGTTTAAACTTACCTGTGTCTTCCCTGCGTGCTCCCGTCCGAAAATCTGAAAATTCTCGGGCGGCCGCAAAGCATCTTGGGGCGGGCGCATGCGCAGTTCAGATTTTTGGCCGGGAGACAAGGAGAGACACAAGGTAAGTCTATGGACGGCGTGCACCCGCGTGCAGACACCGTGGGACAGGAAGTGCCAGCAAGGACAGAGGAGTTAGCGCTGGATCGGAGACCCGCAGCAGCGCTGGAGGCACAGATGAAAAGGACAGGAAAGAAGAAGATCGGATTAAGAAACATCATTTAAGGCCTTGGTTCTCAACTAGTGGGTCGTGACCCCATATTCAGTGGGTTGCCGCGTGCCTTCCAATTTTCTAGGTGAGAGGCTTCTCAGCCTCACCCTAGCACAGCACTGTCAGTTCTCCCACCAAGCAGCCATTTAAAATATGCTGCCTGAAGCCAAGTGTCAGCTTGAGGTGGGGTGGTGTGGGCTGGAGCTTTGGCCATGAGGGAGCTCCACCCATATGCGCATTGCTTACAGCTGCCTCATGTGCCCTGTAGAGGTGCCTGGAGCAGAGTCACGTCACATTCTGGCTCCAGGCACCTCTACAGGGCGTGCAAGGGAGTTGTACAACCAATGCACATATGGATGGAGCTCCTTCACAACACAGCAGCCCACACTGGACCCAAGGCAGAGGATCCACTCCAGTTTTTGTAAGGTAGGGAGACTGGGTGGATCTTAAAAAAAAAAGGTAAGTGCTTTAATTAACATTGGGGGCAGGGAACAATATTTTTGACTTTAATGTCACTTTAAGACAGGTCATACTCCTCCCTTTTTGGGCACCATGAATGAGTCCTTCAAAAACCAGAAATTATTCCGATATCCGCTAAGGAGAAAGCCTCAGGTTGGAGGTGAAAAAACCTTTGCAGAAGGGATGTGTGAAATACTGTAGCCTGAAGCTTCCAATTCAGAAGAAGATGGGAGGGATAGAACTAGTGATGGGTTGCAGGAGTTACAAAATTGAGCCCCCTGCACCACTATACTGCATTTGGGGCAAAAAGGGTGATCCTTGTCCTGACCCTCTCCCTCTGACATTCCACTCCCGACAATGCCCACTTATCTGCAAAAGCGCAGGGTTAGAACACCCCAACAGGAGTACTAACATTACCTAGGGTAAACACAGCCCTGGTTGCCTCAGTTTAAAAACACCCTGCAGGAGAGGCAACCTGCATAGAGCCTGGTTCAGCGGATGTGGGTGCATTTATTAACTTTTTGCAAAATGTGGACTATGCCTTTGGGTTGTAGGGGCAGATATATTTGTGAGATTTCACTTGTATGTAATTAAAAGAAAAGAAAACAAGCTGAATGAAAAGCAAAACAATTATACAATGACAGCCAAGATTGACCCAAGTGACTCTGTCATGAGAGAATTCTGGATGCTACCATTGCTTGTCTCTTTTTGGCAATGCCAGATATCTATCTGAGGTAGAGTTCCGCATATTTCAATCTGGGACCCGGAACAAGCACTCTGGAAATGAGAGTAGGAAAATGAGAGAACAAGTTAATTCTATATTGGTTCTAGGTCACTAAGTATAAAGCATTGCTGCTAAAGAATGAGAATAACAGCCAGAGTTAAAGCTCTTACAAAAGGAATGCAGTAATGGCACCCCCTATTAATTTCTCAGGACAGTTCTGGGAAACATATAGCATGTGCGCCATAAGTGAATGTCCATGCCCCAGATCATCGATGTTTCACAGACGCACTTTTAACAAAAATAAATAAATCACAGCATAGGGGAGCAGGAAGGATGACATAAGATCACAGGTTCACTACAATGCAAGCACATGGCCACTCTTTCATCTTCCTATCTGTTGTACATGTTTTCAGACATAAAAGTACTGTAAATTCCAGTTATAAGATGTATACCAACTTGCTAATTCAATGCCTATCAATCTTCTGTTTGGAAAGCAGACAGTCCCCACACAAACTCAGTTTTGAGAAGTCAACCTTTACTACATAGTTGGCAGGGTTTCTGGAGCTGCAGGCACACTCCAAACTGAATCTGGTGTTTCCACAACGAGCTGCTATGCCGTATTTTCAACAGCCATATAGAG